CAGACAGGTAAAGACATAGACAGGTATACAGTAAGACAGGTACTGACCCAGGTGGACCTGCTGGATGTAGGCCAGCAGAGACTTCCTGTTGTCCCTCCACAGATCAGGAAGTTCTCCGACTGGAGGATACTTGCAGCAGGAAACCTCCAGAGTCAATTCCAAACACTGAGCCCACACATAGTTATAGTCCTGCATCCCACCTGCACACACACACACACACACACACACACACACACACATTAAATACTTTATAAATAAGTAAATTTAGCATTCGTTTGTCGTCTTTATTGGACAGCGGAGGCAGACAGGAAACATGAGAGAGAGAGAGGGGGTATGACATACAACAGAGGTTTAATTCTTTAATTTCTTAGATTTATTTTAAAAGGTATAAACCTGTTTTAATTCAGAAAGTCACACAAGACACATTATCAGTAGGTTGCACGCTTTTCTTTTATATGAGATGATATGAGGTCATATTTATTGGGATGTAAACATATGAAACTATGAGAGGGAAACTTCAACTTGTGCCAGGGGGCAAATATTTTCATTGGAGCGCCTGGTTTTCCCTCACAGGCCGCTATTTGCCTACAACTGATCTACACCCTGAAATTAAAGTGAAAATAAGGACTTTCTGAGTAACATTTAGGGAGATCTACTGTCAGAAATTAAATATAATATTTATTTATAAGTATGTTTTCATTAATTTATCTCTTGAATATAGGAATTGTTGTGATTTTGTTACCTGAGACGTTTTAATCTACAGAAGCCACTTTCCATGGAGTCTGACATCTTGAACTGCCTTGTTTCAGCCCACAATGGACAAACCAGAGACCTTTTTTCCGCAAGTTTGTGTTCAGTTAGTTGCAATCTGAAACTTCACCGCTAGACGGCACTAAATCCTGCAGACTGGGGTCTATAAACAGTGTTGGAATTGCACAAATTGTGAGTGACTAGAAAGCTGAGACACATACTTGATGCCTCTCTTGCATCAGCCCCACTTGTGCTGCCTCAATCAAAACAGGGACACTAGAGTCTGTTTAAACTGACAGAAGTTGCCTGAAGTTGAATAAAACTAAAGTTATTTGTATATAAAACACCTATCCTCGCACAGGGCACCACAATAGGCAGACAGAGTGGTCCCTCAGGTAAAGTGACTGTCAGTCAGCTGATTGGGTTGCAGTGATCAGGTTTCAGCAGCAGGGAACCAGAGAAGGCGGGTCAGTGATGTTTCTTTCTTTAGTATCTGTCTCAGTTTTTGCAGGTTTCCACAAATGTCTTTCTAGGAATTGACTCTGAACATACTTCTTCTCATTTTCAACCATTCAACCAAAGAGGGAATATAACTGTACCTTTATAAATAATTAGTTTCTGTTTAAATGCTTTTGTACATTATTCTGTGGTGGTTCAAGTATAAAAAAATATGGTACATTTGAAGGATAAACCTCCCCGTAACACTTCGAATTAAAAGTAGGGTCAGAGGCAGGTCTCCTTTACTATCCTGGTCTGGATTTTCTAGAAATTATTTGGATAAATGATGTATAAAACCTCACCTGGTCGTCTGCTTGAGTGAGATTTAAGCTGCTTAGTTTTGCCTACACAAATATAAATGTTATGCCTGTCCCATATAGAGGCCTGTTCCAACTAAAGACAGGTTGAGTTCAGGTCTTATGAAATTAATACATTTAAATACTTCAAAACAAACTAAAAAAATAGGTTGTATAGATAACAGAGGAACACAAAGAGTGAGGCCTCATGCTTGCAGAATTAACTTTATGCTGCCTGCAGGCTTTTATCCTGTAAATCCAGTATTTTCTATCTTGTTGAAACTGAATCTGTGTGCGTGCAGAGCAGCAACTAACCCACCATTAACCTGTGGAAGTGAGAAGATAAAAACAAAAATCTGAAACATGACGCATTGGTGATAACATGTTGAATAAAACTCCATAAAGTAAGCAACAATCAGTCTATAGATGTTAAGGACGTATATTTAAGTTTTTTGCTTTTGAGTTTTACAGTTTTCAACAGCAGCTGAGGTTGTTACTGGCTTTATAGCCTTGATAATATGGATACTATTATTATTATTATTCTATAATTTTCCTTCTGGATGGAGGTTTATAATCAAGCTTTTTAAGTTTTGTTTGTTTTTTAACCTGCATTTTCTCCTCATTTATTCTAGTGGTATTTTCTAAAGCCTGGAGCACTTTTATCGTGTTGTATCATGTTTGTCTCTTTGTAAAATATTTTCTCTACCTACGGGATACCAGTAAAGTAACCTGAACCTGTACTGTTATTTCCATATCCAGGTCCAGCCCCACATTGCTGGAAGATACTGCCTCATAAGGTCCTGATGGAAAGACTCAGAGACTATGTCAGAATTTTCTTGCCTTCTCTCTTCTGCTTTGGCAACATGCTCCCTGACCCCATGTTTGTTTTCCTTCCTGATCCCAGAATCCCCCCCTCCTGCCCTGCATACTGTGAAAGACTACAAGCTAATACTGGTCTGGGTTTAATATGGATTCTGACTCGTCTCGCAGCAGGACCTCGATCACATTAATGCACTTCTAGAAAGACTTAATTATAGGTTTAACCAAAAGCTCCTGCTGCTTGTGCGGCAGACGACATCATGTACTGAGAATTTTAGGAAACAATTGATCTATTTGAATCAATTCCAGTATTAAAAAGGGAATAAATCACATTGAATCAACTTTAATTTGCAGATGATTTCTGTCATTTTATCATATTATTAAAATAAAAATGCCTGACCGATCAGAGGATACCACTGGTATCCGTTGGTGATGCCGTCCAGGAAGGGTCTGCTGTCTGCGCAGCTGTCCCCTTTGTGCATGGTGGCGTGGTTGTGGGAGTACACCTTGGCCAGGTGAATGAACACGTCGTCATCAGGGCTGACGCTGGCCCCACCCACCAGCTCGCTGCCTGGAGAAACAGACGTCGAGGAGTATTTTGGACTTTTTATCTTCAAATTGTTATGTGTACAGCACATTTTTTACACAGGGTAAATAAACTGAAAGGGAAGTATAAATTAAAGAACATAATTTAGATTTTAAATTAATAAGTTTTATAATATTTCCAAATCAAACCACCACCAAAGTGTTCTATATAATCCCTGTTAGTGACTGATACAGCCTATATTGCAGTGTTCATGTGTGTAGGATCACTTCCTTTTGTGCCTTTTTATCTAATGTGAATAGAGATTTATCTATTATTTGTGCACATTTTGAGAAATACATTTTCAGTTTCACCAATTGCCAGGAGAGGGCGCAGTCACACTGAACACCTGACTTACTGAAAATTATTTGTGAAGTTAGTAAAGCAATTGCATCTAACAGAACAGATACGCTCCTGTTTTTCTTGCACTATAAAGCGTATTTATACTGCTAGATGGCACTAAATCTACACACTGGTCCTTTAAAGTCTATTTTGTTCTGTTTTATGTGCATAACTACAGTGATCTGAGCCAAAACCCTGGTGACCTACACTCAATCCTGTGCCTGAATAGATCCTGTGTAGACACAGATGGACCACTAAGGCCACTGCTTTGCTAAAATGCTACTCATGCTACGCCTCCTGTGTGGCCATTGTGTTAATCTTATTTACGACAGTTCTAACGAACAGCAAACTGAACATTTTCATTCAGTATTAAAGTCAATACTGTGTGTTAAATAGGAGGAAATGTGTTGGGAGATAACCGAAACTTTCTGTTAGGCTCAGAGTCTCATAAAGCAGGATTACTGACTTATCAGAATAAAACCCCAATTTCACTTACATCTGCCATATGGACTTCTAATAAAAGAAATTTTTCTGGGTTTTATGCAGCAAAATTGTC